TAAATCTAACTCAATGTTCAAAGTCTTTCTATTGCATTTAGACCTTACGGGTAGTTTCTACTTCAAGTTCTAAAACAGCACCACCACATTATTCCTCAACTTCTCTATTCTGGCTTTGTCAAGATACTATTTCATTTTTCTCTTATTCATATGTTCACTGAAATTAAATTTGAAAATTATTCCAAAACTGTGTTCATTAGATACTTTTAGTGGTGAAAAACTGGAAATGAGTCCATATTTAAAATATTATGCCTGTATTTCCAAGTCTTCAGCTTACTTTCACCACTCTCCTGCTGGCATTGTTATATAGGTTATACTCAACACCATTTGGATCAAATAGTACTGCTACTTATGTTCTACTTCCTGAGGAATCCAAGTAGTTTGCTCTTAGCCCAGGAACAACCTAACTTTTAAAAGAGGCAATTCATTTTTCATGGGCTGAAAGGTGCTTTATTATTTTATGTAAGTTGCACAATTAAAAGTTAATACCGATTCCTAAATATCCCAAATATATTATAAAAATCTCTATGTAAGCCGGATGTGGTAGTGCATGCCTATAATCCCACCACTTGGGAGGCTGAGGCAGGAGGATCGCTGCGAGTTCGAGACCAGCCTGCGCTACGAAGTGAGCTCAAGGCCAGCCTGAACTGCATAGCGAGACCCTGTTTCAAAAGGACAAAAAACAAACAAACAAACAAACAAAAAAACTATGTAAGCAACAGAACTGCTATTGCCTCGTTTTGTATTTCACAAATCACTATTTTGATGTAAGTCCAAATTTTATATATTTTTAAGAGTCAGAGAATGAAACACCTTAAAATTCCATCATTTCTAATGGGTAAAAATGATATATAACAAAAATACAGATTAACAGTAAAACATTTTGCAGCAGCTATTAATAATTAGCATAAATAGGTATTTTCCCCATTCACATTTTATATTCTATGATTTCATTCTGTCATTCACAAAATGTTATGTGCTGTAATTAACGGCTGGTGTGCCACCAGCCCAACTTAGAACATTTCTCTTGCAGTAGGTCTTGGGGTTACATGCAGGAACTTGTCTCAGCTGACCCAGTCCAGTTCAGAAAGGAGCCTCTCACTTCACACTGCTTCAGGCCAGAACATGAATGAAGACAGATATGCTGGCCAAGGCAGGAACAGAGAAATTTCTCCAGTATGTTCCATATCAGAACATTTTGGTCAAAGCTCTTATGTTCAGTAGTCATTGTTGCAAGATTTAGAATTTCCCTAGAAATCAAAGTCAGTCAGAGGCCAGCATTCTGGATGACCTCAGGGGAGGGATGTGCTGGTTTCTATCAAACATTGATTCTTTAAGGAAGCATTTGCCACTTAAGCTTCTTTTCTGAGCTACTCTCTTCATGAATATTTTTCAGCTCCTGAAAATGTCACACTTTTCTGTGTTAGGGTTTTGGCACAGGGTTAGGGTCTTAGGTTTTCTTTTGCCTGAGGTCTTCTTCCTCCCACCCTCCTTGCCTAACTTGTATCAATCCACTAGTCAGGTTTTATAGTCACCTCCTCCGAGTGGCTTTTCTGGACTCATTAGACTAAGTTGAATCCTCCTGTTTATGTGTTCCTACCCCTAACCTTGGATTCTGCCATCCAGCACTTTTCTCTTATAACAATCCTAGGTTTATCATTCATCAATATTTATTTCTCCATTGGACAGAAAGTTCCACAGGGACAAGGATCATGTGGCTTGTAGTCTATTCAACCCCCAACAGCCAGATCAGAGGCTGGCACACAAAAGCATTTTATACATACCAGTCTAAGACAACAGGTTAAGTACATTATTAGTAAGAGTGCTACTCTGCAACAAGCAAGAGATGTTATTGTCCTCTTAGGACCCAATGGGAACTCTTATCTTTGGTTTATAAGCTTATTGCACTGGGATCTTTCAATTCCCATGCCACTTACAACTGCCTAGGAATACCATAAAAATGGTACATCATTTGCTAATGATTCTACTTCTCTTTAACTTTCAAACAGTATGTTTGGCTGCCTGAGGGAACCAAAAGGTTAAGAATAACAGAGTCAAAGCATCCTCTACCTGTTTTAAAATGTTACTGAGTATCCTTGGGTTATAGTAGAACTTTCATGAAAATGAAATTTCAAGAACTGCTATTTGGTCCCTGAGATGCTGCCCATTCCGATAATCAAAGAGAAATCCCTGCAAGTGGCTTTATTTTAGGTGGTAGGACTGTGGGTGGTATTTCTTCATACATTAAATTTTTAATATTTTTTACATAAAATGTTTTATATAATTGAATTTATATAATTGTTTTATATAATTGAAATGTTTTAATACATTTTAGAAACACTGCAGTTGGATTTCTTGAGTTCATGACAAGCCATACAGACAGATAGATATCCATTACCAAGGTCCTTCTTCTCCTATATTTTCTACACACCATTGAGACTGTGTGAATCTTCTTATGTAATAAAAACAACCTACATATGCTGTTTCTCTGCCTTTCAGCCAGATGAAAACAAGTTAGAAAAGAGGTAAAACAACCACATACAACTATTTAAAGCTGTTTTAAAAAATCATGGTATAACTGTTTAAAACTGTTTAAAACAATAGGCTGTTAAAAATATTGTGAGATTAATCAGTTTTGAAAAATATCAGTAGGCAGTGATATGACTGCAAGTTTGACTAAGCAAATTATCACCACCTCAGAACTGGTAGTGATTATGCTTAAATAGTCCCACTCAAAGCTGAGTGACCAGATATAGACAAGGAAGGTATATTGTTTTTCTGTTTACTATACCACCTTCCCTAATTATACAGAAAACAATAATGCAGTAAAGACAAATTCAAGTGCTGCAAAAAGGAACAACAACAAAAAGTGTCAGCTGTTCCAGCACCTGACAAGATGTAATCATCCATTTTAGGTAACACTCTAACATCAATGAGATAGATCCTCTCTCATCTACTCCTCAGCAAGAGGTACTCTGGAACTTTGTAGACATTTGTAGAGAAGCAAGGCTGAAAATTTCCCCTGAAAGTCACAAACTGAGCTATACAAATACTAGTAGTTATCATGGAATATAAAAAAACCAGAAACATAATACATTAAAACATATTAAGTTTATTTTAAAAAATTTCACTCTTAAGACTTCCTTTTAAATGCTTAACAACAAATAATATATGCATCTTGACAATAAAAACATTCTATGTGTGCTGAATTATTTACTATAAAACTCATGAATGCCTATAGATTTAAAAAATAAATCATATGCATTCCAAGAATGACTAAAGGCCCTAAGCTGAGTAGTCTGATGAAATGTCCTCAAAAGTTCCCTGAAGAATAAGGTTACATGAAAGGATATGACAATATTGATGAACCCACATACAGCAAGAAAATTCTTCCCCAAATGGAGTAAAAATGCAGTGTATTGAAAAGCAACCTTGGGAATTCTCATTATAAGAGTAAGTCCTACATTTCGCACAAATCATAGGTTAACATTTTTATGAACATTAAAGAACATTTCACAATGAATTTGTAAACAAGAGAGAACAGAGCCATATTCTAGAGTCTGACTTTTGTTTTTCTTCTTTATTCTGTGGGCTCTAACATTTGTTACATTGCTCAAATAATTTTTTCCATGTCTATTTCCCTCACTAGGTTCCAAGTATGTTAATCACCTGTGCTCTTAGCACCTAAGGCAGTGGCTGCCACAGTGCACAATGAATGGTTTTAGGAATAGAATGGATGGTCGAATGAATGAATGATTCTCACTTAGAAATGGGCATGGGGCTTCAATGGGGTGACAGCAGTCTAGAAGAAAAGGAGTTGTAAAAATACATTCTTTAGGCCGGGTGCTTGTGGTGAGGGGGTAGCCTATAATTTGCCTAATAGGTCTGAGGGCCAAAATACATATTAAAGAAATAAAGCCCTCTCTCAAAACATACATACAACTGATACATATGAATTCTACAAACTTAGAAGCGCCAAATAGTTGTTCATGCTACCATTTTGGTACTATTTAGGACAGTTCTACTTTGAATATATTTTATATAAATACAAACATTAAGAAATATCTAAAAGTCACTTGGGTTTAAGAATCTAGCTGTCAATATCTGGCTGAACTGAAATTTCTAATAAACTATCTGACCCATAATCTTATTATAAGCATAAGCTCCCAAGTAGGAAGAGGCATAGAAGTTGATGAATCATTTTCAATTAGAAATTTTCACTCTGAAGACAGTTTATAAAAATTTTAAGTATGAATAGTGTATTAATTTCAAAAGTACTATGTAAATAATTATCCAAATAACTAAAATTTGTTCAGCTGAAAATCTTTTTTTTTTTTTTTTTTTTTTTTGGGGGGGTATCTATCAGAGATTTGGGCTATAATTTAAACTTGCCATCAGCTTATCAAGAGTGATCAAATGTTGAAGGTACGGTTTCTTGAGAAACTAATTTAGCAGGGCTCTCAGCTAAAAATGTTTTTTTTTTTTTTTTTTTTTT